AAAAAAAAAAAAAAAAAAAAAAAAACAATAAATTAAAAAAAAAAAAACCAAAATAAATGGAAAAAATATTTTAATCCTAAATCTACAATATATACTCAGTCCTACTGACAGTGTAACTATACATATTAATATTAACATTTTACTAATTTAACGTTATACTACTGATATCAATTTGTCCAACTAAATAGTTTACAAATAATAATATTCAAAATTTTTTCGTTAGTATTTTTTTTGATTGCATAATTGGTTATTACAGTACAATTGATAAATTAATCCCCAAAATTTTAAAAAATTCAGTAATTTTTCCCATTCATCTTTTAGTAATCGTAGTGAGTTTCGAAATAATCTTCTGCTCAATATATATATAAAAAAAAAAAAAGTTATTTCGATAAAGATACATAACTTTCTTCTTAGCAGAATACTAAGCTCACCGTAAATAGGATCTCCAAAATGTTTAACTTGTTTAATTATTGGTATAATTCTTCTTGCTAACGTTAACATACTTTCCGAAAAAATAGTCATACATCTGCTCTTTCTCATTTCATATCTAAGTTCTTTGAGGCTCCTTCTAGCTATCGCATATTCTAATATAATATATAATACTTCATCACACGACATTTTTGTCTCATATAAACTAATAACTTTTAATTGAACTGGAAATTCTCGTAATAAGTACGATAAATTTTCTGTCTCTATTATAAAGTTAATTCCGAACGAAATCAAAGTTGATGGAATTGAAATTATGAATTGTTGAAGGATCTCTAACGTAAAATTGAACTTATCAGTATTATTACGTGATGTTCTACCGATCGTTAGATGGATTAAAGGAAGTCGTGAAATTAGTTCTAAAAGATTTTGAAGGTAGTTTGGTGATATTGAAATTGAAAGTGTGGTAATTTTACTACAATACTCGCCAATGAGTTCCATTAATGCTGGTATTGCACTTTCTAATGTTAATACTCTTAAATTTTCTGTACACATATTGAGTATCAATGCTTTTGTCATCACTATATCTTCGCTATTTACCCAATCATCATAACAATAAAGTTTTTTAATATTAAGTATATTCATTGGTATATTTAAATATGAAATATCGTTATCTTTCGTTGGTGAAAGATCTAATAATTCTAGAGTTTCTAAATTTGTACAACATTTTAGAACATTAATTAAATCATTATATTCATTTTTTGGTGTGAAACGAAGATATATTAATGATTCTGCTTGTTTTAACACTGCTGCAAAAATTATTGCTGATGATGACGCATTCCAAAATTGATTAAGTGATAATGCACATAATTTGTTTTGTGATTGAACTAATTGTGCTAACGATTCAATAAAATATGTTGGAAGATGCGTTCTCATCCGATGAATAATTATAGAAATACTATGTATATTTCGAGAACAAGATGACATTAATGTAAATAATTTTGTGAGTCTTTTCGATGTTTCATCCTCTGTCTCAAAAAGATAGAGTAATTCAAATCTTTGAAGGTGTGATAAAACATTTTCGATCCCAGGTATCGTTGCGATATCCAGAAAAGGTCCATAAAGTTCTACATTTAACAAATCAATTTTTAAAATTCGAAGTCCGAATGATCGATTGCAAAGAGAATATCCAAGAACTTCTCTACAAAGTGTTGTTATTATATCACATGCTGGATTACTAATTTCTAAAGTTGAAACTGAATCATCAATAGCTTGACGAAAATGTTCAAAATCAAACGCTCGAAGATATCTGGGATAATCGATAAATGGCTTAGGCAAGTCATGAAATTTGATGCCATCTGCCATTAAGCGTAGTCTTCCTTGTTCTTCAAGACATGACACATATGTTCTTATGATTAATGCTGCTTTTTCCTTTTCAAGCTTATATGCAAATGGACGACACCAAAGTAAAGGAACGACCATCTTAAACCAATCTCGACTCACTAAGAGACATGAATGAAGTGAAGATTTGTCATCTTTTAGATACTCTAAAATATCCGCAAAATTATCAAATGTAAGCCTTTGTGGTGTTGCTTGTTTTTGCTCATGTGTATAATGTGAATTACACGCTAAAGCAAATCTCTCAATTTGGCACCTAAGACTTTCCATCTTGAAGAACAGCAATTTTTCTATGTTAATTCGATTAAAAAAAATTTTTTTTTGACTTTTTTCCAACAAGAATTAATCTTCGAAAACGACAAACTTACTGTTATGGAAAACAGCCTACCGGGCCAAATATACAAGCAATACTATCTCGACCTGCTTCCAAATGTCAAACAATGAAAATACGAAACACTACTAAGTATTGAATATTCCCTTTATGTGAAAAATGTACGTACGTACGTACGTACAAGAAGAGAATTTACCACAATAATTGATCACAGCGTGCATGATTTTATGCATTACACATGCTATGTAATTAAATGTTGAGGAGCCAATCAAATTTGTACAGTTGACAATCTTTCCCTTTCGATTATAAATAGAAAAAGATAAAAAAAGTATAAAAAAAAAGAAATAAAACAACCAAGACAGTACTATTATAACCTGTATCAAGGTTTAAAAAATTATATACTATTTAAAAAGCAATATTTGTATATCTCTATTATAAAGCTTCACTTTACTACTATGTTTTCTTT